GCCTGATTTTTGCACCTCTTCTTTACGTTTAGTTCTCCAGTAATTAAATAAAAGCTAAACAATCTCTATAACTAAGGAAATAAAGAGGCATTGTGATTTACATATCATTTGTGCCTAGCCCACCAGTCCAATGCATCTCTTCCATCAAACCCTGTTTCCCGCCACTGCCACTGCACCCACCCGGAACTTAATTGATAGACAGCCTCGATTTCATAAAACAAATAAGAGGTTCCTAAATAGCAGGAGGAAAAGTAATCTGTTTTTTTTTCGAAAAAACCTATGACGAGACTGGGATGGCCAGTCTAGCAAAACAAGAGAAAAATATAAAAGATCTGTGCGTTTAGATGTAGCCAAGGTGACTTTTTGTTGGGTGTATAATCAGCAAGACAATCTGGTGGAAAGGCACACACTAACAATTAATTACTAAACATGATAACATAACATTCAAATTACAGTGTCTAGATATAGAACTTAACAGGTTACTGCACTCACTGAAATATTTTTTAATCACAGTAGATAGGTTCTTATTAGTACAATAATACGTTTTATGACTGCTATTTTCTTAGAAGATGACGCTATTAGCTGGTGTATCACTGTCATTTCAAAATGCACAGGCCAAGCATGGTCATGCTCATGCGGCCATGGCCCCTGGGTCTTGTTGCCTAGCTTTTTCCTTGCACATGCACATGCATCAGACTGGAATATTTGCTAAATGCACACCAACATCTAATTTTTTTGGAAACAAAATCAAAACATTTTTGTGTTTTGTCCTCAAAATTTCACACCAATGTTCTTTTTGGTTTTTCAGGTTTCGGATTCAACTTAAGCTTGATTTCTACTAGGTGAATTCTTTCGCGCTCAGCTGTATAGTTAGGCTCAGCTGTATAGGTATTAACTTCCTTGTTAGGCTCAAGCAAACCACACGACTGAAGTCTTGTCTGTAGTGTTAGCATTATCTTATGTTTACACTGAAGTTAGCAAAGAACTGGCAATTTAGGCAGAGTAGACATTCTAGCTTAATAGACAGAGTCTTATTCCAGGAGAAAGCTCAAGAAAACCACACATATTTTAATACATTTGCCAGAAGATTATTCTTACTTTTCTTGTTATGTAAATTTTCTGTGGCTGTTTATCCTTGATTATTCTTCAAATTACAGTACTGAGAGTAAGTCTCCAATAATTTTTTAAGTCTCATATCAATTGAAAACTATACTTCAATGTCTGTCAACTATTTTTATCCAATATGCTGTTCTGTAAAGATTTCTATGGGTAATAATTAAAATAACTCTTGACTAGACAAAGGTCTTTTCTGCTTGTGAAATTCTGAAAACCTTGTCTGAAAATCCTTTTTGAAAATTTGCTGACACCAGCTGAAAAGTACCCTTTTTTCGAAATCCTAGGTCCTTGGATTGTGGCAGTTTTTACCCCTTTCTCAGTGATTTTATGGACATGCATGATATGCATGTTCTCCATGTAGTGCACTCGCCGGGATTTAGGTATACGGCCAACAAGGTCTAGGCCAACCGGGGATGGACGTACTGGACCAGCATCTTCACTGTTCACTTGACTATTCTGTTCTTCGGTGATCATGGCAAAAGAGAACAAAGTGGAGCTGGAGACATTTAGTGGTTGGGGAAAGAACGGAATTATCGTAAGACTACTGATGACATACAGTGTTATGGAGACGTGACTTCGTATTGCAATCAATGATAATATATGGACTGACCTTTGAAAAGGGCAACGGTGCTCTTTCCTTTGAAAAGCAGAAAGCGAAAGCTTGATAATGGCATCAGTATATTAAAGAAACCTAAGCTAGAGAAAGAGGAGAAAACTGAAGACCGCTCTGAGAAAGAAGAGACGATGTCTGTACTGTTTTTTAACTAACAACTAATCAGAAACAGGGGCGAAAATACCGGGGGGTGTGGGGGGGGGCTGTGACACCCCCCCCCCAATCTAAAAAATAGTCGATTTCGCAGGGCAATCGAAGATTTCGCAGGGCAAGATTACGCAGAAATTCACCTCTGAAGTTCGTAAAGGGCCGTTTAGGAATTTTGAAATGGAAATATCATATTTGTTATGAACCTACCTTCCTGATATTGCATTTTAGAGAACGGAAAAGGTATGTAAGGAAAAGCTCCGTTATTTGCAAAGCGAAAGCATGTCTTACCGAAAGTCATAGCCAATGGATGCAATGATTTATGCA